TGCTGATCTGCTGGCCGAAGTCATCGTAGGAAACTGAGTGTTGTGTTGGTGGCCAGACGGTGGGTGGCATCACCCAGCAGATACTCTGTGGCCTGGCTGAGGGACCACAGGGGAGAGAGCACGTCCAGGACAGGACCCGGGGACAGCCGCCCATCCGAGGAATGGCCGTTAGTTGGTTTGTTTCTTAAGATGCCGGATGTTATGTTTTTGCTTCGGCCGCCAGGAGGCACAGAACCAGGCTTGCCAGCCACCCCAGCAAAGGCTTCAGTAGGTGCTTCCAGGCTGACCTCACCCCTCCGGCTTTTACACACATTTTCTATCCACGTTTCTTCTTGCTTTCTTGACTTGAAAGCTTCCTGTCTTCTTGAGATTTTCTGTGAATTTATCCCGAGTGTCTCCTATCATTTCCATCTCAAAAGAACTGAATTTGGTAAAGAAGGAAGGATTTTGAGTATCTTATTTACTCTTGGATGTGATGTTTTTGTCACTGGTTCTTTTTCAGAGGTCATGAGATTTCCCAACTTTTGGAAAATTCTGGCATTTTTCAGAACGTCCCTTTCTCTCTCTCCCTCCCTCATATCCCAGGTTAAACATATTTCCTGAATTCTTAATTTTAAAATCAAAGTGAGTCTCGTCTCTTTTTACTAGTTTCTCCTCTAGCACATTTTGGATGGCCTCCCTGGGTCAAAATTAAAATCCGCAACTTTCATCTATTATCATAACAGATCAGAAAGGATTTTTTTTTTTTACCTGAAAAGCAGCCTTTGGTCCGCCCTTGATTGGAAGGAACTTGAAAGATCTCATGTAAACATAGCAAGGAAGACGTATAGTAAGTCCCAATCCGCCGTTTTCAAGGAGTGAGCGAGAGAATCTGGAAAAGCTAGAATTCTGTCTGAGTTTGCCCTCTGCCCACGAGAACCCCTCCGCCTCCCCTGGGTGAACAGTGGGGTGTCAGAGGGAATGACAGAGTGCCTGTGGCCTAGACGGGGGAGCCCAGCATGCCTGGCCCTTTCTGTTTGTCCACACCCAGGCTGTGGGGAGGACACACGCATGCTGGGGGCAGAGACACCAGACGGCCCGGGAAGGGAGACTGTAACAGGGGAGGGAGAGGAGAGGAAGCCTGCTGACCCCTTTCTGGAGCCAGTGGGGCAGGTACTTGGTGCAAGGAGGCGCTGGCCAGGGTGGGGAAGGGCAGGCCCTGGGCAGTGAGGGGACAGAGAGCCCCGAGCCCCCCTGGAATGCAGGATGGAGCAGGGGACGCCCTCAAGGCCGGCCTAGGGAGCCGAGACTGTCCTGGAGGACAGGGGCAGCTCTTGGAGCTTCAGCAGCAAGCTTGAGGGCCATGAAGAGCGCCGGGCCATGAAGCCTGGTGGAGACACTCCGGCCACACATGCCGCCCTCCCAGTCCGCTGCAGTCGGCCTCCCTGTCCTCAGCTCCTGTCAAATGCAGCTACTGAGCTGGGGGACCCCAGGAGAGCTCCCGTGCGCAGGGTCTGAGGGGGCAGCGAGCCTGCCTCTGCCTCGGGCTGTTCAGGACGCACCGGCACACGGTGGTGTGACATGGAGCTGTCTTAGTGGGCGTCCTCAGAGGAGCACCGTGAGGCGGGTGTGAGGCGTGCGCTGAGGCAAAGGGACCCCCAAAGAGGGGTGGTTTGCAGGTCCGGTGGTCTGCCTGCCTCCCCCCCCACCCCCCAGTCACCCTCAGGGCGTATTTCGTGGTCCTGGAGTCCAGCAGCCTGGAGAAGAGGAGGATGCCCGGCCTGAGCGCCAGCCGCCTCTGATGAAGTGTCTGATGTGACCTACTTTCCTCAGCGTGTGCTTGGGCTAATTAGCAGGGGGGTAGGAATGGGGGGCGGGCGCTGTTGTGGGGCGTCCTCAGTCTGACCTGGCCAGTTTTCCTGTCTTTTCCCCGTTCGCCAGCTGTTCTCCTTGCTGGTCCTGTCAGTGTATCTTAAGCAGCCTGGCTTGGTCGGCTCCAGCTGCTGTAACAAACATGCCTAGACTGGGGGTTCCCACGACAAACTTCCTCACACTCTGGGAGCCGGAAACTGCGCTCAGGGTGACTGGCTGGCAGCCTTCCCGGAGGCCTTGTTCCCGCCAGATGATGGCCCTGTGTCCCCACAGGCAGAGTGGGGAGGGGCTGTGTGGCTCTTACTACAGGCTGACGCCTACCGTGGTAGTGAGAGGGACTCTAGTGACCTAATGGAACCCTAATTACAGCAGCCCCTCCCCCACCTGGGGGGATACATTCGAACACTCCCCTGAATGCCTAAACCCTTGCATGGTACAAACCCTGTCTGTCTGTCTACCGACATGCCTACCCACCTACCACAGGCCTTCCTGTCCAGACATACATCCTCCAGGATGGCAAAGCTTACTTTATAAAGTAGGCGCAGTACACGCTAAATTACCGATCGTCATCCTGAAGTGGGACAGTTCTAACATGTGCTGCGGTGAGCCTGGGAATATGGTCTCTTACCTTATGCACATCCGTGCTCAACCTCAGCGATGGCCCTGCAATTGGGGTCTCGAAGGACCCGGGGGCACTCAGCCCCCCGCCACCCCCCCATCAGCCACCTCCCCGTGTTTTTAGCTTTCTCTTTTCTATGGCAGAATTCTAGATAACCGGGTCTGTCGGCGCTGTGTGAAAGCAAGCCGGGGTCTGCGTGGGGCCGGGGCCTTCCATCAGCGGACACCCCACACCTGCCACGTGTGGATGCTTTCTATCACCATCCAGGTGTTCATCCTGTCTCCTCTCCTGGGTCTTGGTCTGGTCACACCAGCGAGGGGGTGACCGACCTGGGTTCTAAATTGCCGACCGCGGCATTCTCAGTGCAGACAAGTCCTGTACCCCCTCCTGGCTTCCTTCACTGTGCAGACCTTGGGGGGAAGTCGCTGGTGGAGGAGGAAAGTCAGTGCTGCTGCCACAGCATTGGGCCCCTGTCCTGCTGCAGGGCCTCCCGTGGATGCACACCCCCGCCTCGGGGTGGGGGCGGGGGCTCATCTTGTTCCCATGGGGATGCCTAGCTAGGGAAAGGGTCACATTCCTCACAAAAATTAAGAATTTTTCAGCTCCAGGTTCATAGGACTCTCCACGCCTAACCACAGAGGGCCCTCAGGAGCTGCTTTCTGACAAACAAATCCCAGGGGCTGGTGGCGGGCACCAGAGGCACCCAGGTTGACAGTGAGTGGTGGCGCTCCAGGGGTGCTTTCTAGCAGGCCTCCTGGGGCCAGCTGCTGACATTACCTTCCCTGTGAGGTTGACACCATCTTTGGCTACTTTCGTAGCTTTCAAATGCGAAAGGAAACCTGGCTATGTTCTAGAAGCATCACAGTGGTAGAGACCTGGGAGAGAGCTTTGATTTT